GTCTGGGAGACCAGCGGCACATACCCAGCCTAGTTGACCCAAGAACGGCATTCAAACTGCTCTCTAAGAATTGCAAGCTGGTTCTTAAAACACTTCTGTTGGGCAGCTTAGGTCATTTCTTTCAGATACACTTCTCCAAAAGTTATTTATTATCTCAGTACCATTGTTATCAGACGATGATGAAAAGAGTCCGTCTTAGTAATGACTGTTAACCGTACAGAGTAAGATAAGAATGTAACGCACGAATTTCAACTTTTAAGTGATAGTTCTCGTTCAAAAGACCAAAATTTATTATGAATTTGAGAAAAAAAAAACATTTTGTAATGTGAAGATACCTTTTGGTTTATTTAGGCATTGTAAACTAAAAGATTGCGGTGTGTGAGCCATGTTCTTGTTCAATTCTATTTGCCAGCTTGGACATCGCCACCCAAAGGGCGGAGGAGAATGAGACATTAAAGCAAAAAGTAAAAGAATGTGAGCGTCAGCTGCAGGGGAGACTTAGCATCAGTCCAAAATACTCGAGAGACGAGGAAAGGTACATGTATGGGTCATATTGGTCTTGTCTTTGTTAACCCGTATTTTACTTATCAAACTCCTTGTACGATGACGTTTCGCAAGTGACTGTTGTTGTGGTGTCGCGGCTAACGGTACTAAGTAAAGTAATTTTATTTTATACTCAAACTTATTTGCTTCGTTCTGTTTACCATGTCAAGCTTTACGTATCAGCAACAAATGGTGAAAGCAAAACAAGCTCTAGAGGAGAAACGTAGAGAGCTCGACAAGTTTAAAGAAAGGTAATAAGGGTCGGTGAGCACTTTGTCTAATCTAAAACATTTTAATAGCGATGACCATTTTTTCAAAACCATTTAATACAGCCACCGCTGAAATAACACTTTGCTATTAAAAAGTCTAGTTCTCTAAAATACTATTTAATAAATACTTATTTGAAAAATGTTATTTAATCAAAAGTAAAAACATTTGTTTTGAGCCTGCTCGTAGCTTACACTTTTTCTAAAAAGAGATACTGAGACTGTATGCATTTCTCACAGGCATGCTGCCTTCTCAGAAAGAAGGGTGAGATCTGATCAGAGACGAACAGAAAACACGCTAAGCACAAACAGGCAATCACAGCTGGAGAGTGAATACGTCATTGAATTTAAGGACGGTACACGTGTTGATGCTATTGACATTCTAANGATATTAAAGCAAAAAGTAAAAGAATGTGAGCGCCAGCTACAGGGGAGAGTTAGCATCAGTCCAAAATACTCGAGAGACGAGGAAAGGTACATATATGGGTGATATTGGTCTTGTCTTTGTTAACCCTATTTAACTTATCAAACTCCTTGTACGATGACGTTTCGCCGGTGACCGTCAGGTCGCACAGTATAGTCGGACATACGAACAATAATTGTTTTTTATTTATCATATTGTTGTTGTGGTGCCGCGGCTAACTGTACTTGGTAAAGTAATTTATTTTATACTCTAAATTATTTGCTTCGTTCTGTTTACCATGTCAAGCTTTACGTATCAGCAACAAATGGTGAAAGCAAAACTAGAGGAGAAACGTAGAGAGCTTGACAAGTTTAAAGAAAGGTAATAAGGGTCGGTAAGCCCTTTGTCTAATCTAAAACATTTTAAGAGCGATGGCCATTTTTTTAAAACTATTTAATGCAGCCACTGCTGAAAAAACACTTTGTTATTAAAAATTCTAGTTGTCTAAAGTACTATTTAATAAATAATTATTTGGAAAATGTTATTTAATCAAAAGCAAAAAACATTTATTTAGAGCCTACTCGTAGCTTACACTTTTTCTTAAAAGAGATACTGAGACTGTATGCATTTCTCACAGGCATGCCGATTTCTCAGAAAGAAGAGTGAGATCTGATCAGAGACGAACAGAAAACACACTATGCACAAACAGGCAGTCCCAGCTGGAGAGTGAATACGTCATTGAATTTAACGACGGTACACGTGTTGATGCTATTGACATTCTAACAACTAGAGGTGGTCGTTATCGGGGTAGCAAAATCAGCTCAATGGAGTATCTTAAGTGTTGCAGACTCGCTTGCTTTACTTTAGGGGTAATGTTCTTGAAATTTAATATGTATCAAGTGTAATTTATTTCTTGATATAATGTGAAAAAGATTAGTTGAGCTTTTTCTTCACGTTCCCAGTTCTATGATAACGAATGCACTGGTTTATTGGGCTGAAGTTCAACTTCTGCATTTCATGGTTTTTCCTCAAAGTGTGATCTGAACAGAAATAATATCTAGCATCTATAATAACCTTTCTTTTACAGAAAAAACAGTATAAAAATGCATTTGTTCTCAGATAAACGACTTCTGAAATGAAATCATCGATCTTCGGCAGATGAAGGCATTACCATTCCTCACAGCGAATTAATACAGGATAACGCCGTCTTTTAGCATTTCCTTGATATATCTCATCACTTGGAAAAGAGAAGATTATCTCGCTTTAATCTGGAAAGAACCGATTCGAAATTGTTGAAAAGAAGACTAGAACTGCCGGGAGCTGAATTCTCAACGCAAAATCTCAAGCGGGGCAGTGCTAGAAAGGGAGTGTTCAATAGAGGCAGAACACAAGTAAAAACCTTCGTCGACCCGAGCAGGATCAAATTCGAAAAGGGCGGCTTACCAGGTTCGATAAGGGTGATGGTCAAGCGAAAATAAGAGCTTAAACTCTACTTCAACTTAAAATACAACAAATACGCGGGGAAAAACAGGCTACAGTCCAAGGTCCACCAAATCTGGCCATGACACTCCCACCTTCCCACCCAACCTCTTTCCCATTGCCTTTTCCCTTACTTAGGGGCAAGACGGGGCGAGGCGGGGCGAGGTGGGGCGCGGCGGGGTGGTTTTAACTTTGTGAGAATGAGACACG